TACCCCCTGGGTGTTCACTGATGTTTTGGGCTTTACAGAGGATGAGGAAAGTAGAGTTGTAAGCGCCAGACAACTAGTTACCTAGCTAGGAAGAGGCTTCTGTGATGTACGGTTAAAGACAGAGGCAAAGCGCTGTGTCAGAAACCTCGGGTTGACTGGCACACAGAAAGAAGGAGAACAAGGTTCACAGGAAGCAGGGACTCATATACACCCAGGCAAATTGAGAAGAGTTTGCAGATGAAAAGGGCTTGAAATAAATTTTGGAGAATGCATAGAAATGGAATAAGTAAACTTATATGTGTGTAGGTGGATGTACAAGTGATTAAATTGGAAAAAAAATGACATGCTTCAACTCAAAAGGCATTTTTTTTAGATTAATGTATATCAACAGGCAAGCTATAAAAGATGGGGTTCATGTATTCTTCAAGATCCCTTTCCCCCTTTTCAGGAAAATCAAGGTGTTCTTTAGGTCCTGCGCATAACTACAGACAGTGTGCTCCAGACGACATTTGTGTGTGGACCTGTCAGCTCACTGACCCCCTCTCAGCTCTTACTGATGCCACAGCCACCTCTGCAGGGTCCTCAGCTTTGGCCACGAAGTCTCTTCCTGCGCCTGCCCTGCTGGTGCACGCCAGCTGTGCGCTCGCTCACCGGGGTTGCAGACCAAGGCAGGGCCTCCCTGCTCTTCCCGCGGCATAGCGCACTGCTATGCAGGCACAGTCCTGAGCTAGCGCGGCTTCTGCCCTAGGCACAGGGACATAAGCAGTTCACGCTGGAGGCCACGCTTTAATGAAATGAAATGACATCTGAAAATGGGACCGTCCTCCTGGATAGCAGAAAACACATATGCTGGGTAGATTTCAGTGTGGATTTTGGCATCTGAATGAACAAATTCACAAATGCTTTACAAATGTTCTTCTCGATACCCAATTTAATTGGTATGCACCAGAATTCAAAACATTTCATTCTAATTATGAAAAAAAAAATCTCAGAAGAAATAGGGGTGGCCGGATGCCTCAAAGGAGCAATTAGAACATGTAGTGTAGCCTTACCCTGGCCGCTTGCACCCATGGACCCACGTTCGGGCACATATGTGCACACACTGTTAGGTTACTCTACATCACAGTACACGAAGAACAATTTGCAGGCTTTTGTGGAGCAGCTTTTGAATTGTATTATTTCTAAGCCTTGTTACTGTCTGAAAGTACCAGAAGAGACGGTGTGACAAACATTCTCTGGCCTCTATGTAGCATGTTCCCTTCTGGGCACAAGAGCGTCACTCTGGGTTCGTTCCTTGGTGGCGCCTGAGAACAGTGCACATTTGTCTCTGTCTTCCCAACCATGCAGATCTGTACGGTGAATCCCTCCTTACTACCCTGTGATTGCCCACGTCCAGCTTCAGTGACCACGTGTTCTAGCTGGAGACGGGTGGGGCTGTCGGGGCTGAAGTGAGCGCGCAGACTCCTAGAGCCCAGCATCTGACAGCGAGGGGCTCCAGGACTGTCTGGGATCACGGCTGGCCTCAGCAGCCGGTGACTGAGGACTGTGGTGTGAGCAGGGGCAGTGACCATCAAAGGCCGGGTGGATCCTGGTCCCGTGGCACCTGCGGTTAATGGAGAAGATAATTTATGGCCAGAGCTGAGTTCATTGATACTGTTTCCTTAGCAACTCAACATCTCTCCTCTGCCCCCTTGAGGAAAGGACTCTGTCAACTCCTAGGGGCCCTGTATTAGGCCGGAGACTTGGCCCCTTCCAGCCTGAAGCAGTCAATCCTTGGGACAAGGAACGTATCTCCAGCCAGTGTGTGGGTCATCTTTGCTTGTGGTGCCTAAACCGGGGTATGATTTTCTCCATCAAATTCTAGCGTCTCAGCCACATTCTCTTTGCAGGGCAGCAGCAAGGGTGCCCCTGTCACATAGCTTAAATTTGCACTGCAGAAAATACACTGTTGGTAATTTATGTTCTCATCTGGAATCTTCAGTGATATATGGTGATGCCTGAGAACTGGAGTTTTAGTGTCACCATTTGATAAGGTGTGAAATGACAAGAACCATTAGATTTGGGAATTGTCTGTCCATCTGTAACCACAATGGACCTGCATGTTGTGTACATCGAGCCATGTTTATAGTGGGACTCTGAAGAAGTTTCTCACCTCAGGCACACTAAAATATACCTACTGAATAAATGTGCAGTGTTTAGATGCTGGGTGCAGGGGTCTTGGAAAATAGTTTAGAATTACTTGAAAAAAAATCTGGTGTATAATAACTCTAACAGTTAAAAGCAAAAAATGTCACATGTTTTTACCAGAAATAGTGTTAATGGTGAGCAGCTGTCTGGTGCATAAAAGAGAAAAAGACAACTTTTAATTATCCAAAATCGCTTTTAAAATATCACATGTGTCATTTTCAAGAAGAACAATAGTGTATTGTAATAATTCTGAAAAAAAGAGTAGTTGTGCTTGACTAGTTAGTAAGTTTTCTGGTGAGGAAAAACAACTCCTTCCAAATGCATGGATTTAGTTTTGTACTTAATGACCAATTCTGAAAAATAAATGAATTGCTGACACTATATCTACCCTAATCTCAGCAGCTTCTCATTGCTACAGTTATCAGCTCTGATACTATATTTAAAATATGAGATTCAGGGAACTCTAAAATGATCAATGTGATGACCTAGTACAGAGCCGAGTTTCTCAGGGAAGAGCATAGATCAAGAAACTTTATTAAATTTTAAATTACCATTTTTTCTATCACATGAAGGGAGTGAATGTAGTAGAATCAAATCTATTTTTCCACAGTATGAATGCCTACAGTAGAGGCTAATTATTGCTTGATAATGATAAAAAATACGAAGATGCACTTTGTGTGGGTCAACATAGTTTTCCCGGTGTTTAGAATGTGAGGATGTCCTTTCCAAATACAAAAAGCTAACAGGGATTCTGAAAGCAGAGAAATTACAGGGATAGATGGCTCACAGGTATGAAGCCAAATCCAGGTATTCTTAGAAATCTCTACAAGTTTCAACAGTGTTTCTTCCGTTGCTCGAAGGAGAACAGGCATTGCTGCTTCTATGTGTCGTTCTACAGATGGACATTTCCAGTCTTGTCTTTTCTCCCACCCTGTGTTGTTACCTCCCGCCGGTGCCTTTCCTCCGATTATAAGCACTGTGTGGTCAGGAAGGCAGTCACGTGTGTTTCTTGTTGCACAAAACAATGACCTACCAAATATCTATGGAGGAAATGAGCTAGTGCAAAATCAACACTTTGATAACAAGCCTGAGGAGCGAGCGTGGGGAAGCTTTGGGGAGAGTCCCAGGAGGGTGGTTCAAGTTATTTGAAGATCAGATTTCTAGGGGTAAACCAGTTGTATGTTCAATAACATTTGTCTACCGCATACTGCGCTTCTCCGAGGTTTGTATTTTTTTGTCATTGAAAGAGTGAATGATGTTATAAAAATGACTTACTTTAAAATTATGCTGAGTATGTATGTGCAGAAGCATAAATTACCAGGAAAGTGATTAACTCAGGTATAAGCAGACACCATACTTGTTATCCAGCCTTGCATTAAGAGGATGAGGTAGGGTTTCCTGGATGAGAGGAACTTCAGCAGTGATGTATGACTGTATCACCATGATATGCAAGAGAAGAGCATTTGACCTGTGTGGAGCGGTAGACGCAGGTAGTTACCTCGTGCAGTTTTATTGGAACATTGCAAAACACACAAGAAAACTTTAAAAGTGGGCTGTTTGTTTCTTGTACATGAAGACTGTGCTGCGGACTTAGTTTTCTTCCTGAAAACATCTAACAGGACCACTTGCATGACAGTGACTCTCGATGATTAATTGTGGAATAAAGAAAGAAAGAAAACATCAAGAGTACTGAAGAAAGCCGCAAGTCCTTGTTTTAGTTCTTGGGAAACTAAAGAATGTATAGCGGTCATTTGATATGTAGCTAAACAATTTCTCGTTAATTTTAATGGTGATTTTTTTCTTGAACAACAGTATCCCCAGGCTTTTCTGTGCTCTGTTTGTAACCTTCAGGCTGAGGACTAGGAGTTTTACTGCTTTCCATGCAGAGTTGACTTTCGGATCATTGGTAGAACCTGGGTTTGGACTCAGTCTGTTCTGATGGAGACCTTGATCTTCCTTTTTTACATCACAACACTAAAATGATGAGAATGCTTTTTTAGTGGAAATTAAGAGTTGGGGGCCCCTTACCACTTAAACTTGAGTTCTAGAATCTCCTTTAACAGAAACATTGCTCTCAGTTTTGCTTAGTCTGGGAATCGTTTATGTTTCTGCTGTAAGACAGCGTGAATGCTTAACACACAGTTCACTTTTACCTCTCAAAATGCAAAACTCACACTATAGACTACACCAACTTGTTCTCAGAAAAGACCAGAAGAATATCATTTTGCAAAAATCCATACCAATTTTTAAGTGACTTAAACATAACCTGTTAGTTTCCTTGTCTAACATGGCTGTCGTGAGCACCATGTCTATTTTTATCACAGCGGACTTTGGGAAACCATATATTTTTTTCTGATTCCAGTTCAGTCAGACTTCACTGGGTTAGATTGTACAGTTAAAATCATTGCAGTCTGCAGAGGTAGCAATATTCTAAATTTTTAGGCTGTGTGAACTGGATGCCTTTCTGTGGATAATTTAAGTTTTGCATTCTGCATACATAACCGAAAGGGTGTGTTGTGAAATATAATGCAGTGTCTTCGTGACTAGAGGCACATCAGAAGATCTCTGATTCCTGGAGGTGGCTATTTTGAGCTCCTCCGCCAATTTCCTACCCATACACAGCAACTAAAATAATCGGCGTTACTAACAGCTAAGAATCTGGTCCTGTGTAGCTGCTGGACAATGAGCACAATGTGATTTAGGATCCCTGTTCGGTTGCCTGCCTCCTGCCTACTCATCAGCCTAGTTTGCTGCCGTTTGAAAGCTATTGAAAAGCCATTAATAGGCAGGACCGGAGAGCAGAGCCGCACTGCAGCACACCTCCGTGTGTGTGGCTCACGGCAGCTGGGTGTGAGCACCGATTACAGCTGCCTCTTCCTGGGCTTGTGGCAGGAGGAGCGTGTCAGTCAAGGGCGCTACAATAGCACGTGCAGCAGGGCTGCCTCACAACCCACCCGAGAGGCTTCTGTGAACTCCAGCTGCTGCATGAGAATGAGCTTGGAGCTTTTTGCCTGATCACGGAACAGAGCCCCTGCTCAGTAACGCATCCGAGGTGAAGTGTTACCTGAGTAGGGACTCTGAATAATGCATTTCCCGGGGACGACTGTTGCAGCGCAAGAGAATGCGGGAACTCCTAGCAAGACTCCTGCCTGAGACGGGAAGATGTCTTACTATCATTTCATCAAGTGCTGTAAGTAAGCTTGATGATTTGTGCATGGGGCCATTTGTCTCCTTGAAATGCTATTTTGTGCAGAAGCCAAAATTAAGGCAGGTCTTCTGCTAAGCCACGTCCAGACATGTGACCTAGGTGGGTGACTTTGAGGGCTGTTGTACAGGCTGAATATGCTTCACCTTAAGTTTTGAATCTGAAATAATTCCATTTTTATCCAAATGCTGTAGTGCAGAGATCTTTAAAACTTTATCTTTAAAAAACTGCATAAGCAGCCAAGAAAAAAGGAACGAATAGAAAGGAATCAAGGAATCGTAGAAGGACATTTACAGGCATCAGCACATATTACTCAAGTGCATCCATATGCACATGCATTTTTCTCTCAAGTTTTACTGGTGCAGGCTGCACCCGGGTGTGTACCTCGTGAGCTTGATCTTCAGGGTTACCCTTGACTGTCGGCTTCTGTCCTTGTGTCACTCCGTGACACATTCAGTGTCCTTGCAGTGACTCTGGAGCAAATGATACAGGCTGATGCCCATGTAGTGAAAATAGTTTGTCCCTGACTTTGCCAATTGCTTTGTCAAGGATTTTTTAAATGCCTGAATGTTAGCAGGATTTTCTGAGCTAGAATATTCTACCTGTATCTCTACCTCCTCTGGATGGTGATAATGAGGAAGAGGACATATTTATAGCAAAAAGGCATTCCTAGACATATTTTCCTCCTGCAGCACTTCTGTAAACTTCTGTACATTTCTATCGTGATCTTAAAGTGACAGACGAAATTTGTAGAAAACAGCTTCCTGTGAAGATTAGTATGTTGCTGACAAAGGACATCGCAATGTTAAATTAAGTAGCATGTAAAGGGAACACATGTTTTGAATGAATCTTGAGTTTTCTCATTAAGGAGAACTAAAAGCAATAACGTTGCTTGGGAAGGAGAAAATATTTGCCTTTCTGGTATCTGTGGTAGAGAATGCAAAGAGAAATTACAGCTCTGTGGCTGTTGAAAATAAAAACCCTTGCTCACCAGCAGCAGTAAAAGAGGCACGCTTTTAGCTTGTAGAACAGTTTCGACTCCCAAAAGAATGCACCCACCAGCTCGTAAGTTTGTAAATTAGCTCCTTAATAAAAATTGGGCATATGCAACCCGTCTTTATAGAGTAATCCTGTGCTTTAACTTCTTAAATCCTGAGGTCGTTCTCTCGGCGGCACATGTACAAGGTAGCACTCTTGGCTGGATTTTTGCAGCTTCTCGTGTTCCCCTGCGCTGGCAGAATCCCATTATTTTCCTCTCGGCACCTTTGCGGAGGAAATTCCTGAAATCCTCCGCGAGGCCCCTACCAGGAAGGCGGGGGCTCACTTGGGAGCGTGAACACCTGGCCCGCGGCAGCCACAGAGCTTGGGCAGAAGGCAGAGACAAAGATGGGGAAATTCCGAGAGCTCTTGTCCCCCATCCATAATACAAGGCTGCCACATCCTGCCCCATTGCTTTTGGTTTCATGGAATTATCTAGGCATGGAATTTCAGGAAATTAAAAGAAGTGATGCTACCTCGCCAATGGTAGCACTTGAGTTAATTCTTCCGCTCCATCAGTATGAGAGATGAAATCTAAAGTTAATGAATTTAATGAATTAATCATTTTCATTAATGAAAATATGTTCCCAGGGGTAAGGGGGCAAAGGAATTCCTGATGAATTTATCAGAGTCAGTAGGAGCTCCTTACCAAGCACTTGTCTGTTCTCTGAGCTCTGAGGGCGGCTGTCTGTATAACGGACAGAAGTGAGAATACGCTGCAGTGCTCACCTCCCTGCAGAAATGGCATAACATGGGCCAGGAGTTCAGTGATCAGACTTCCTGGTGACTGAACCAGCCGGGGGTGTTTCCTATCCTAGAAAGAACACGTCTGCAGGATCCTGAAGGATGACTCGAATACAGGAAGGAGAAGGAGTCTTATGGCTTGAGAAAGGTTTATGGATGAAGGGCATAGTTTGTACTTTGAAAGTTGCTCCTGGTGCCTGAGTTCACCCAGGCCGTGTTACCCACTCCCCTGCAGTAGCACATGAGCCCCACAGTCCTTGGCGAGATCCACTGGTCCCATTCTTTCTGCTCCCTGGTCCCTCTACTACTCCAGCACCACCACATGACGCTCTGATCTTCTCAGCTGGCCTTGGTTGATTACCGTCCGGTGTCCACACTCAGGCAGGCTGTGGTGTTTGGACTCCAGGCTGGAATCCTGGACCTCTGTGGTGTGTAGCTGTAGCATCACATGCGGATAATGCAAGGCAGAGGCAGCCTCAGGTGGAACGGCAGACGATCCACAAGCAGTGCCGGTAAAGAGCCTCCGTTGCCTGGGAGATGTCAGGATACCCGTGCACACTGAGGGCCTCAGCCCAGTCTCACAGTGGTGATCTCTGGCTTTGGTACTGTGTTGTTTCAGGAGCTGTTCTATACTTCCAATATCTTGGGCAATGAGATATTTCGCTTCCAAGAAAGAAAACCTTAAAGCATCATAAGAGAGAAGTGAGCGGACGAAATAGCTTAGATCCTTGTCACTTCCTGTATCCCTTCTGATGCCCCCGAGCAGACTCCATCCTGCGTGCTCTGTACATCTCGTGTGAAAATGTCAGAGCTGGAGTGCGATCTCCGGGCAAAGAGCATGTGGCAGGAAAGTTTAAGAACACCTCTACGCAGAGGACCCTCTTCCCCCAGCCCCACACTGTCATCAGTGCTACCTCCACGGAGATGCCCGCCCTGTACCCTGCCCTGCTGCCCCCTGGGCAGGCGCCTGCTGCGGCGGTCCACACACTGGGCAGCCTACGGGAAAGACTGCCTCACTGAGGTTACCCCCAGCCTCCCGAGACACTTCAGTGAGGGACTAGAGCGGTTGGCTGAGCCCTGGAGGGGGCATCAGAGCCGGGCAGACTGCGTGTGCTTTGGGGTCTGGATCTCAGGTCTCCAGCAGGCAGCGCTCCCGGCCTCCGCTCCCTCCGCAGCAGGTGCCAGGGCTCCCGCCTTCCGTGCTCTCCTCTCTCCTCCAGTGAGGGCACGGACGGCGTCGCTCACACGTCCAGGAGGGCCACCAACTCTGCGCGGGGGCCTGGTGCGAGCTCTTCTTGCCACCTCTACTCCGAAACAGGGATTGTCCCCTGGGCCCCACCCCAAGCCTGTGTGCTCTGGATTCGGGCTGCTCCGCAAAGCCGCCTCTCCTCCTGGTACCCCTTGCGGCCCTGTGTCCTCAGCGTCTCCTCCAGCCCAGGGCTCTGACTTCATGCCCACCTGGCATCTGAGCTGGGTCTCCTCTTGCCCGGCCTGTGGGTGCCTTCTGCCCTGGCCTCCACCCTCCCGGAGCCCACTTTGCCGAGGCGCCATAGCGCGGCCCTGTGCCGCGAGCTCCAGACCACCGCCGGCGAGCTGAGTCCCGCGCGCCTCCGCCTCACCCGCTCCGGCTCTCGGGTTTCCCTCTGCCGCAGCTGCTGGCTCCGTGTCCTTGTCAGGACTTGGTGCTGAGGCTTCTCCAAGTCCCTGGGGCATCAGCTGTTCCCACAGCCTGCAGCATCCCCTCCTCCGGCCCTTTAAACGACCGGTGCCTTTAACCCTGAAGTGCCCTCCCTGCTGCTTACCTCCGACGTCTTTGGACGACAGTAATGCAGCCACGTGTTCCCTTTTGGTATTCAGTAGCTAAGGGACATTCTGCAGCGTGTGTTAAGCCATTCGTTTATTAAACGTTCCTCTTTTTCGTAGGCATTGAGACATTGCAGTTAGGCATTGTGGCTTATATTGCAAAAGCATCGATTCACAAAAGCAGCAATGCTGCTCTGAACAGCACATGCGATGTGGATCTCATAGACACTGCTGGATGCGTCTCAGGTCCCCATGGGCCCTGGGAACAGGTGGCCCTGTGTCCCACCAGCCTGGACAGAGGGCTTCTCTTCAAGTGATGCTACCTCCACCTTTGAAACATAGTTTCTTGTGATGTTTGGGATTTTTTTTTTTAGCATATGTTGGAGATTCATAATAATTATACTTGTCATTGGAAATCAGTGCAGGTCAATACATGCTTATGCTTTCCACCCCCTCTTCCCTTCCCCCTCTCACCTCTTACTCCTCCCCAAGTCCCCTTCCCACCTCCACAAAGTCTATGGAGTACTAGTCTGCCATGAAGAAGGATAGATTTGAGACATCTTGGGACCATAAGGTTAAGGGAAATAAATTAGACCCACAAGCTTAAATACCACATGGATTCTCTTACATGTGAAACACTAACTATAAATAATTTAAAGGGCAAAATAAAAGATAGGTGATAGGAGACAGGGAGGTAGAATTTGTGAGGTTTTGTTGTACTGTTGGTTAAGGAAGTTCCCCTCATTTTTAAATAGTTCTGTTTCTTCACATCGGCTTTTGTTTTTTTATATTAGATTTTTGTCGTTTTTGTCATCAGTTCTATGCATTCTGTCATATAAGGAAATATTAAATTTTCTCTGGATGTCTTTGTACTGAAGATAGTCTTCTTTTTTACTCTTTTATCTTTGCTTTGGGCACTTATTAGCAGCTAATTGGCTACTGTCAGTATGGAAAATGGCTTCTCTCTGTTCTCTTTGATGCATTTGGTCTGGTTGCTTTATGTGGCTACTTTCCTGAAGCCAAATATTTAGCCTCCGTTCTCTTAGTCTGAGGTTTCATTTTTATACCTCAAATTGCTGTCTTTGTGAAATGAGACATGTGGTGATGTGAGGGAGGGATCTTCTACGCTTCGCTCCCCCAGGATTACAGCACACTGTGCCGAGACCCAAACCCTACTACGCGCGTTGTCTGGTTTCTGTTGGCGGCCTTGATCCCTTTACCTGGCTCAGGGCCTGCTATTTGGTTAGTGTGACTACAGGATGAAGTCCGATGTCTGGAAAGGAAAACCCTCCCTACTGAAAATTCTCATTATTTTCTCAGATAAGGGCAAACATTTATTTCTCAACATTAAAATATTTTCAATTTATTTTAAAAGAAAAAAATATACACACCAAGTCAGG